CCTTTCAGAATTCAAAATGTTAAATAGTTTTAAATATTAAAATTAACTTTATCAAAAATTAGGAAAAAAAATTAATCCAAAAGAGTTCAAAAATGTATTATAATATTCTCAAATTTGAGTTTAATTATATTGTTCATTCTCAAAGTAGAAAATTATATTGTAATTATTTTAATTTACATTTTGTGATCTTCTTAAAATTAGCATCAATAACATTAGATCTTATTAAAAATGTAATTAAATCTTATTAAAAGTGTGATCTTATTAAAATAGCATCAATTACATTTTAATTTACATTTTGTGATCTTATTAAAAGTGTAATTAAATCTCTATTTTCTTAAATTTTTTTGTTTCAAACTTCTCAATTCTACATTTTTGTAACTTCTATCATTATATTATCATCCTCATCTCCTCCCATGTTCAACTTTATCTTTACAATAGTTAATATTCTTAAATAATGTATATTTTTAATTATAATTTTTGAATATATATTTCAGAAATTAATCAATTCTAATCTATTATTTGAAAAACTAATCAATTTTAATCAATAATTTAGAAAATTAATCGATTATAATTAATTCTTTGAAAAAATTATCAAATATGATCGATCATTTTGAAAATCTGATCGATCAGAATGGTAAAATCTTGTTGTATGTAATAGCGGTTCCAGTGGAACGCTTATTAAAACCACTTTTAATAGCGGTTAAACCATAACCGCTATCTAATATACACTTGAGATAGCGGTTATAGTGGCACAACTATTATATCCTCTCAATTATGATCGATCATTTCAAATTATGATCGATCAGATCGAAGTTCGCTCGAGCGAGAGTAGTCTCGCTCAAGCGAAACACAACCCGAGAATTCACAATCTTAAACTATTTTTTTGAATATTATGTTTTTAAATTTGCTATTAGAGAAAACCTTTCAGAATTCAAAATGTTAAATAGTTTTAAATATTAAAATTAACTTTATCAAAAATTAGGAAAAAAAATAATAAAAAAGAGTATTTAGAAAGTCAAATTATAGTTTCTCTGTTTTAAATAATTAAAATAAATAGTTAAAAATAAAAATCAAGACTAATATTATCTTCAATTTATTAAAAGTGTAATCAAATCTCTATTTGCTTAGTTTTTTTATTCAAACTTCTCAATTCTACATTTTTGTAACTTCTATCATTATATTATCATCCTCATCTCCTCCCATGTTCAACTTTATCTTTACAATAGTTAATATTCTTAAATAATCTATATTTTTAATTATAATTTTTGAATATATATTTCAGAAATTAATCAATTCTAATCTATTATTTGAAAAACTAATCAATTCTAACCAATAATTTACAAAACTAATCGATTATAATTAATTCTTTGAAAAAATTAGCAGATATGATCGATCATTTTGAAAATCTGATCGATCAGAATCTCAAAATCTTGTTGTATATGATACGCTATTAAAAACCACTTATAATAGCGGTTAAACCTTAACCGCTATCTAACATACACTTTAGATAGCGGTTAAGGTGGAACCGCTATCTAACATACACTTTAGATAGCGATTATGATCGATCAGAATTGAATTATGACCGATCAGATCTGTTTCAATCGATTAAAACGCATTTCAATCGATTAAAACAACTTGAAAAAATTTTGTGCAGAGTTTCAATCGATTAAAACGCATTTCAATCGATTAAAATAACTTTTAATATTTTTGTACAGAGTTTAAATCGATTAAAACGCGTTTCAACCGATTAAAACAACTTGGAAAAATTTTGTACAGAGTTTTAATCGATTAAAACTTCTTTTTATCAGTTAAAATAACTTGAAAATTTTATAAGAAAGTTTTGCAGTATATCAATCGATTAAAACACGAAACAATCGATTGAATCAAACTTAGAAAAGTTTTGTAAAGTGTTTTAATTGATATAACCGTTGCAGTATCAGCTAAAACAATTTTGTTAAAGAATCAAGAACGCATAAATGGATTGAAAGGACTTTTAACAGATTGAAACGGCTATTTCAACAGATTAAAACAAACTTTCAACAGATTAATTAATGCAGCAGTTTTTGAAATTTCTCTTTAAAAACAGTTTTGCTTGAACTTTTTAAACATACATTTGAACATCAGTTTTCACAAATCCTAAGCAATCATTCAAGTAATCTTTAGCATCCTTTTTCAAGAAAGATTCGCAACAGTTTTTAGAAGTTCTTTTGAAAATCTTTCTTGAGGCAACTTGCATTCTTGTGAAGAAGAAACTCTCAGCAGATTTGGATAAACTGGTTTGAGCTTTCTAGTTTCTTCTTTGTAAATTCTTTTTCATTCTTTTGTATTGTGTTGTACCTGGAATTTGGGCACAAGTTTCTCTGCAGCTGGAAGTTGGTTGTGGAGGTTATCAAGAACTGGAATTTGGTTCTTGGTGAAAGGTTTGGTGCCTGGAATTTGGGCACTGGTTTCTCTGCAACTGGAATTTGGTTGTAGAGGTTATCAAGAGCTGGAATTTGGTTCTTGGTGGAAAGGTTAAGTGCAGGAACTGGAATTTGGTTCTTGTGTTAGATTAGGTGTAAGATTGTTGAATCTGTAAAACATTTAATCTAGTGGAACCCAGCTAGAATTTGGCTGGAGACTGGACGTAGCCTTGGTATTGGGTGAACCAGTATAAAATACCGGTGATATCTTCCTTAACCTTTCTCTCATTTAAATTCAGTTGCTGTGCTTATTTTGATTGATTGCTTTGTGATTCAAGAACAGATCTTTAAACTTAATTTTCGAATTAGCAGGTGGTGTCGCTCGAGCGACGTTATTTTCGCTTGAGCGATATTGCAAAAATCAGATATAATTATGTATTATTTTCTCATTAGCGACCGATTTTAATTCGGTCGCTATTTCAATGTGTAATTCCGTCGCTAAATCAGTCGCTAAATGATTTCTTTATTTATGTATGAAATAGCCACCGATTTAGCGACTGAAATTTTGCGACACACAAATATTGGTCGCTATTTCGGTCGCTAAATAAAGGAGTGAAAACCAAATCATATTTTGGTCGCTAAATCGGTCGCTAATGGCGACCGAATTAAAGTGGTCGCTAAATCGGTCTCTAAATGCGACTAAAATTAAATCGGTCGCTAAATCGGTCGCTAATTGCGACCGAAAAAATTTGGTCGCTAATTTCGGTGGCTAAATGTGTTTTTTTTTGTAGTGAGCTATCAGAAGTCGTGGATATATTAACGTGTACAACATGCAAAAAAATTTACCTGGGAATTTATTAATTAAACTCATCTTTTATTATATAAAAGATAAAAATATATTGTTAATTTAAATGTTTTTATGTTAAATTTTATTATTATTATTATTATTATTATTATTATATAAATTGATTTTTAACTAATTTACCGTACAAAAATGTTTCTATTAATAATATAAAAACTCTTAACATAATTTTTCGTACATATTATATTAACTATTTCATAAAATAGTCATACATTATTATATAAAGTAGGGTTCAATGGACAATACATATTTATTAAAAATAAATTGATTTTTTTATCTAATTTTTTTATAAATTTTGGTAATGTATATTTGATAAGAAAGCTGTACATTTCGTGATATATTATTAGATATAAACTAAGGTTCAACAAATATGATATATTTATTAAAATTAAATAGAAATTAAATTTTGATTTAAATTTCTTTCTGATATATTTAGTTAAATTTCTAATAATAATCATATATTATTAGATATAAACTAGGGTTTAACATACTGGTATATTCATTAAAAATAGCTAAAAATTGATTTTTGATCCAAAAAATTCTGATAACTTTTGATAGTATATATTTAATAGCAGAGTAATTACATTTTATAAAATAATCATATATTGTTAAATATAAATTAAAGTTCAACAAATAAGATATATTCATTAAAAATAGTTAGAAAATAAATTTTTATCTAAATTTTGTTATAATAATTTTTGCAAGTATATATTTAACAAGAGATTCGTTACATATTATATGGAAAATGAACTTCATAAAATTTAGTCAATCTAATGTGTACCTTTAATGAATTCAAACACTGATTGGAGTTAATATATTGTTGTTCCCCATAACTTACTTAGAACAAAAAAAATACTATAATATATTATTCAGATAAATAATTGAAATAATATTTGATAAAATTAGAAACGACTTTGAAAAAAAAATAGTATGTTCGGGAATTTAGTGTGTTTACTAAAAATTAAATATTATTTTATTGACAGAATTTTATACAAACTATTAAAAACACACCAAAATATATATAAGTTCAATATTTATTTTAAGAAAATTCACAATTTGCATTAATAATTGGTATAATAGTATTCTTTTTATTAAAAATATTATTAATTATATTTCGAAAATCAATTTAGTTCGAATAAATTATGCCACTCCCTAAATTATCTTTTAGGAAAATAACAGTCAATATAATAATCGAAGAATAATGTATTTTCATATAGTTGAAAATTAGAAGAAAAAAATATTTCGTAAAGATTGTAACTTTAAAACCAAATTATGTCAATGTGTTTACATATATCTTAAAAAAGAAATTCTTATTCATTGGTAAAGAAAAGTGAAGCAGCAGAATCAAGTACATGCATATGGAAGATGATGATGATATCTATGAAGGGTAAGAATAAGAAGGGAAGGTTAAAACAAATGAAAAGTACATAGGTGAGATTTCAAACCCAAAACCTCATTGTTAAGCCTTATTATGAAGAAAGAATTATAATATAAAGCATTGAAGTTACTCTCTACTCATTGTAGTTCATGATGTTGCTCAAAGCCTCAAGGCACACAATGAAATAAAAGTAGCCAACTTTGCAGTTCATCCCTGACACAAGGTTTAGTCATCCATAAATTTTCCATCTTTTAAGTGGTGATGGCTTCAAACGATGGTTTAGCTCCAAAATTGGCCCTAGCATTTTGGCCTGTAGCATAAACCATGTTAATTCAATAATCACTTTATTTAAAACTCTTCACTCAATATATGCATACTTACCTGTTAGGGGAGTTTCGAGAACAAAAAAACATGCAGCAATGACAATGTAACACAGAGTAAGAACCACTCCTTTCATGTAGTGTGAAGTTCCATCCTACAAGAAAAAAAGTTCCATCCATTGAATCGTGTGATTTTTATTAACTTTCAATAATAAGAATGTTATTAATATTTTTTTACAGATATTATTATGTATACCTGCAAAGTGAAGGCTGTAACTAAAATGGTAAAAGCAAGACACCCAGTTTCAAGAAGACTGAAATCCAAATCCATTTTTATACCCATTATCCATGCAACAACCACACTTAATGGAACCTGAAATTGATTACCAGTCATTGCATATCATCATAGCATTTATTAATTTCAAGCATGATCATAGTATTTTATAGTAATACTGATTCAGATCTTACCACAAACATAGAAATTTGAGTTGCAGATCCCATAGCAACACCCAAAGATATGTCCTGCATGATAATATTAACCACATAGTACCCTTCATTAATTTTAAAGCCAGTTAATAAACTTAAGCCTTTATTTAATAAATTGACAAACCCTACCAACTTGTTCTTGTAAGCAAATATGATTGAACCAGCATGTTCTGCAGCATTTCCAACTATAGGTAGCAAAATTATGCTAATGAAGCTTACAGAAATGCCCCATGAATCTGAAGCAGCCTGGTTAAGTATAAAAAAAATTATTATATGCTTGGTTCGTGCCTTCAAAAATCAAGGTTATCGGTGATAAATGATTACATATTTTATATGTATAGGTAGATAGATAGATATACCTCTATGGTTCCCACAACATATTCAGAAAGTACAGAAATGACCAATGTCATACCCACCAACCACGTAAATGCACTCCAAAATCCTATCACAGCCTTCTCTTCATCTTCCTCCTCCTGTACAACAACCAAAACCCTGTCAAATATTTTTGTCTGAGTAGAAAGAGATAAACAAAGTTTATGAAAAATTAATTTTTCTTACATAAATATATTTTAATTTTTTAATGCTATAAGATATTTATAAAACTGAAATTATTTTTTATTTATTAATATGTAATAGAAAAGACTAATTTACTTTGATGGATCCCATAAAACTGTTTTTACAGAAAGAGACAGAGTGTACTAGTTATGTGGGACAGAGTTATTGTATTGAAGAACTACGCTACCCTTCCTCTCTAATTTCTATTTTCTGATTAAATTAACTATACACATTTAATTCACAGAAATGATGTAGCTATTTTATATAGTAAAATTGAAAAAAAGTAAAGAAGTGTGAATAAATAGTAAAAGGCAAATTAGAACTGATGACCTCTTGTGCCTCAAACAATTTTCTGTGAGTTTTTAATTGGAAGAAGATGTAAGCAAGGTATGCTAGAAGCATAAGAATACTGCTTGCTCTGGACAACTGAAGAGTGTGAGTGGCTATGGATTGATGGGCTCCTCCTATGGCGTATCTGAACAACAATGGCAGCAAATGGCACAGCAACCCCATCAACAAAACCAGTGAGTTTACATCAGCCTGTTTCTGTTCATCAACAGTTAAATAACAAAGTTAGGAAATAATTAAGATAAACAATGTAAAGATGTGTTAATTATGTTTTTGGGTAAGGCTTGGAAATGAATATGTATCAAATGTTAGGTTTATAATCTTACAAATTTACTTTGAAATTTGAGAGATCTATGTAATCATATTGTTGAATCTTTTTCTTTTACAAAATCATTCAATAAAAATTAATTAGTAATATAACTAATATAGAGAAAAATAATAAATTAAGAAGTGATGAATACTCTGTCATATCTTTGCTCTCTCTTGAGATTGGCTAAACCACCACAGAGGAGTGAACTGCCAAGAACCAAGAGAAGGTTTGAGAGAATGGAACCAAGCAGGGACAACTTCACAACATTCACTTTGTTCTGATGAAGTGCTAATAATGCTATGATCATCTCAGTTGCATTTCCACAAGTTGCATTCAGAAGCCCTCCAACTAAATTAACACCCACAAACCAAAACCAAAGTTGTTACTTAATTTCCTTGACCACACAATACCATGCAAAGTAAAATTTCTTCTATTTGTAGTACATAGGAGTTTGAACTATGGTACCTGTTGGACCAGTATAATATGCAATTTGCCTTCAACAGTAACAAAAAGAAAAAAAAGTGTTACAAACACTTATAAAATGTGTAGAGATTCTGTAGAGTAAGGAAGTGCTGTGAAAACTTACTCAGTGAGGAAGCTCACACGCTCTGCTAGAGGAGCAAGTCCAAGGAGGCTGAAAGCAAAAATCCAAGGCTACGTGGCAAAGAGAAAATTGGATTTTATGATGATATTTGGACACTTTAATTACAGATCTAGTTAAATTCAGATATATATTACCAAAATTTAAATACATAAAGGTTTACAAATAGCACATATATGTGCAAATTGAGTTGAAAACAGGAAAACATAGTTTGCATGAATGATACCACTCACCCTTCCAAAGCCATAGAAACTTGCAACAACAGCCAAAGGGACTGCTGGAAAAAGCACAACCAGCTTAGTGCCAAGAAACACCACTTGCAAATTCGTCATCAAACTCCTAAGCATTTCGAGACGACCATTACTACTTGCCACCACAACTACTTCTGACTTCTTCCTCACCATTGCTGTCTTCTCATTGTTGTTCTCCAAATCTTCATCCTTTATGGTGCTTGCCATTGGTTGTGATGTGGTGCCCTCAGAGTAGGTGCTCATGTGCACTAATTTCAGAGAGAAAAAATGTTTAAGGTTAGGACTTGATTTCTCCGTTGGAGGGTGAAGTGTGAGTTAGATTAAATATGTAGGACAAGAAGGTTATTATTGAGTTGAATTGAATGTGTTATGGAGTACGATGACTGGTTGTGTTGTAGAGGGAAAATGCGTTGGTGGTTTCATTGTATACACATGAGCAAGGTGCCATGGAGGCTTTCCAATGCCTGTAGCCATGTAGTGCAATGAAGCTTCTCGGAATTTTCGCTACCTCTTGCTTGCATGAGCCGTGTATAGAAGATGAGTGTGTTAATTGCCGTAGATGGTGTTGGTTTACATTCATGGGAAGTTTGGAATAGGTGCTGAACTCTAACGTATGTTCTACATATATAAAAACTGATATTTTTGATGATTTTTAATAATAATAATAATAATAATAATATATTGTAATCTTGATTTGCTTTATATAAAATCCAGAGTTTTTGCTATGAGCCATTAACGATGGAACAATTTTGGTGTAGAACATTAATATGGAACATGAATCTTCCTATGTCTAGTACATTTTTCCACTACTATTTCACTTTTGTTTGTATACTTTGTCATTTTGCATCGCACTGCTCAACCTTGCACTCCACAATGGCAAATTCTTCAGTCACAAAAGTTGGTTTTTACTGTTTGTTTTTTTATTGGAATCCACTTATTTTGTTGGAATTCAAATATATATATTAATTCTTTTAATAATATTAGTAAGACAGTCATTGAATTTTGTAACGGTTCTTTTTTGGGTAAAAGATACACCCAAAAACAATTTTATTTTTTTTATGGTATAAATTTTGAATTCATACACGACACATATATCTCTCTTACATTAAATATATATATATATATATATATATATATATATATATATTTTTTTTATTTTAAACCCTAAACCCTAAACAAAATCATAATAATGTGAAGCCACTGATGCGAAGCAAATCATAGCATTGACATAAGCATAGGCAACTAAATTTCTGGGAATTTTGAAGAAGAGAAAATATTCTTGGTAACTAGATCATAGATACACATGCTGCTACATCCACTACTTTCTGCATACCAGTTTATTGTGTGCTTCTCAAAGACATCACTGGTTAGATATGTGAAGTTTCCTACCATTTTGTCATTTTTTTTTCCATGTAGATGTTCATGTGATGACAAAATGGGAATGTAAACTAAAACTGAATGTTGTAGGTTTTGTTTCTCTTCTAACTCTATTGTTCTTGATTTGGAAGTAAAACCTAAATTAAAATAGGACATTTCTAATTAATTTCAACTAATTTCATGATTCTAATAATCTTTATCATTAATTAAAATTTATTATACATACAAATTTTGATAGGGTTGACTTAAGTCAATAAAAGGAAAAGTCATCAAATAAAAACTGACCTCCAAAAACCTTGTAAATCCAACAATTTCAACATTGTTCAAAAGTTTACTGCTATTTTTTTTTTCTATTTTTATTACATCTTTTTACTTTGATTTTGTTTATATTTTAAAACATTTCCAGGAAAAATAATTAATATGTTACGGTGAAACAACCAAGTCCAGAATATTTAATAGAAAATAAAAAATAGACCCACAAATTCGAATGATATGATCGAATTATTAGGTACGAGGAGCATGTCTAACAAACTTTATTTTATTTTTCTATTTTGTAGGTTATGGTGGTATGTAACACAGTTAATAATAAAGAAAGGAGAGGATATTTCTTGATGAAAATTTCTTTATGTTATTCTTTTTTTTTAATATCTCTTTTTATTTATTGTGTTATCTTTTAAAATATGTGAAAAATAATTATTGTTTTTTACTTCAATTCGTAGTTAATTTAATGAGTTATCTTTCAAAATTTGTGAAAAATAATTATCGTTTTTTTACTCCAATTCGTAGTTAATTTAATAGGTTGTAGGGAAATATGGATTCCCTGCTTAAAAAAAAAAATTGATGTAAGGAGTATTATTTTTGCATTTGATCATCGTAATTACTAAAATTTAATATTGTGATACACCCACTTATTTAGTTAGTTATGTACATTCATAAGGGAAAAGAAAGAAAGAAAAAAAAAACACTTTACTGTTAGATTAAATATGAGGGTATAATCTTGATTTAAGTTTACATTCTATAGTTAAGAGTGTTTACGAGTTAGTTTAAACTCTTTATATTTGTATTCATTTTTATGAATAAAAATCTACATTCCACATATTTTTAAGTTTTAATTAAAGATCGCGTTACATTTTTAAATAAATATTTAATAATTTATAAATATGAAAACTAGCTACCGACTTGATACATAGATTATTTAAGACAATTTTTTCTTACATCTTCTTACTTTCTTTCTTTCTGCATCTTATATTTATTTAAAGAAGCAATAATATCCTCAATTTTATGGATAGAGTAATCCGAAAACTTCTTATGGAATATGTTAGAAAAAATTTGGATGAATGGATATGAATTTTTTTTTTATTTTGAATATGAAATCTAAAATATAATTTTATAATTTTAAAAAGATTAATCCAAAATTGAAAAACTAAATTTGAAAATGGTTTTTCATGTATATGACTTAAGTTCTATAAGGTAAATCTATAACTTATTTATATAAGAATAATATTGTGTTTTTAAATGAATATGGGATGCAAGAAAAAAGTATCCGAGTGTAGAAAGAAAAAATCTTTTAACAAAGTGGGCAAAGAGAACAAAACCCAATTGAAGTTTGGACCTCTAAAATGAAACCAAAACTTCATAAGGTACTTTCTTCCTACACAATTTCATAATTAAAATAAATTTTATTTTATCATTAAATGAAACAAGATTTTTAGATTTATTTTTTCACAAATATTTTGAATTGGGTGTTGGAAAAATACATTTAGATAAGTTGTTATGGACTTCATTTTATTTAAAAATGCGTTTTTAATTAAGTTATATGTATTCTTATATTTATTTTTCAATATAGTTTTCATAAATATTCATACGAGGTACAAAATATTAATAATTTTTAATTTTATGAATTAAAAATTATCTTCAATAATAAAAATGAGAAAGTAACTGAAGATGCAAGAATTATGATCATGCAGAAGATGAATACAAGAGTGAAAAAAGTGTTTTAGGATTTCAAATAAAAATTAATAAAAAATATTGTATTGATTTTATATGGATTATGAAAATCAGAAAGAAAGAGCCTTTGATAAAATTTTAATTTTTAAGAATTTGAGTAAATTAGACAGAGTCAAAATGTGACACGATTAGATCAAGGCAAAGATAATATATTTAATTTAAAACCAAAATAAAACTAAAAATATACATTTCATAAACATGTTTATTTTCTCACACATTTAGTGAAGTAAATTATAATCATAGATGAAGTTAATAAAAAAATTATGAAACTAAAATCACGTTAGACTCAAACATGATGTTTACAAAATTTACTAACTTACGTCTACTACAATAGGAATTTAAAGTATAAGGTTAGTAAATGATAAAAATTTTACATATAAAAGAAAAAGTAGAAAGTCATTTACATGGATGAAAAAGAAAATGAAAGAATGATTTTTTAATTTATTTTAAAAATAAATTGAAACAAAAACCTATGATAAGTGTAACTCATTAAGGTTAATTAAACCTAATTATATTATGTTTAACTTTATATGTTAAAATTAATTCATTTTTAATTTAGATTAGGTATGACAATATCAATTAATTAACTTACATAAGACTTAGCTTATCAGACTTATTTATATAGATTTTTATATATATTATGGATACGTGAATTCAATTAATTCATATTATATTATATTATGTATATAAATATAAAAAATATTAATGTATATTTATATTATTGTTATACTATATTTTTTAATATATTAAATATTAATTCAATAAGATTATACTAAATAAATTATTATATTTTTAATTAATATGAGATTTTACTATATTTTATCACTTAAACTTGTTATTTATCACATCCTTTATTTTTAGGAAGAATTTTCAAACCCTTCCTTTATTTATTGAAAAAAATTTCGACAATAATACAATTATTTTTATTTAAAAATATATTAAAGATTTATACAGGGGAACACACTTTTACAAAGGATTAACATATGATTTTGTCTCATAATACCACCACTATTTTAGACTCTCTTTTTTTTTCACCTGAAGTGATTTTATAGACATTTTAAAGCTACTGATTGTATGAATTCCGCTGTAACCACGATATGTCTTTCAAGGAATAATATCCTCTTATCCAGATCAGGGTGGCATCATTTACTAATTAGAATCAACTTTTGATTTTTATATAATGGGATTCATCTTATTCATGCTTATCTTCATAATCGTATGTTAAGGTATTATATATATATATATATATATATATATATATATATATATATATATATATATTAAATAATATTATAAATTATTTATTATTATATTATATTTGTATTTGTAAATTTCAAATTTATTAAAAATATTTTATTTATTTAATTATCTTAATATATATTATATTTATTAATTATTTTTGTATATTATCATAATATTTTATATTAATTATTATTTTTAAAATTATTAATATTTTTTATATATTACATAAAAAGATTTAATTAGAATAAATCTTATCTCATTATTTATTCTCAAATATCTTATATATTTAAAAAATTAATTTAAAGGGTAGAACATCTTTTATAAATGGACATGTATTCTTTTCCAAAGAAATTGATTCAACGTCCTTAAAGTCAAAGTTCAAATTTAGAACTCTACTCATATCTTCTTCCTGATCCGTTGATAACAATATTTATTTTTTAATTTTAAACTTTTTTTTACTTTGAACACTCTATTTTGTCATGTCTAATTAAAAAAATTATGTGAATTTCTTAATTGTACTGTGTGACATTTGTTTAATTTTTACCAAAGAATATAGACTTTGGAATAATGTATGATAAGTGCAGTCCAAAAACAATGATCTTGCAGATTTATAAATACATACCTTTTTACTAACGGTTATAAAAATAATTTAATTATATCGAGAGGCAAAAATAGCCATAATCCACAACCACGTCAATTATCAGGTATTTTTGTACAGTATACAATAAAAGTTAAATTCTGTGATTTAATTTGGTATTGTTCTCATTTTTTGAAAATAAAAACGTGCCTGCTTAAGTTTTAACCAAAAATATAGTTTCCAAAATTGACGTGGAATTCAAATATTGAAATAGTCGAACATGAGAAAGAGAAATAGAACAATTACAATATCCGTTTGAGTTTTATCTGGTGCTTGGTGTCGGCGGTGGAGTCACCGTAACGTGACACCAAAATCTGATTATGGCGCGCGTCCTCTTCCTTTACAGTTCGTAACAAAACCCTTCATATTCTTCGCCTCTTATTCTTTCTTGTCATTGTGGAATTTGCATTCAGGATCACAACCCATAAAAAAAAAAAGCCTTTCATTTCCCTCCCATGATCGACCCTCCCCTTTCCTCATGGTCACGGACTCCCAACCCACTCCCCGCCGCGGTCTCCTCGTCGGCAACTACTGTCACGATGTTCTCCACCGCGATGGCCGCGTCGTAGCCGAGACCCTGGGTGGCGCCGCCTCTTTCATCTCCGTCATCCTTGACGCCCTGTCCCTCCCCTTCCACATCGTCTCCAAGGTGGGACCGGAATTCGCTTACGCCGCCGCCACATCCTCCCATCCCCCATTAACAATCCCCACTTCGCGAACCACCCTCTTCCACGCCCACTTCGGTTCGGGCAACCCGGACCGCTTCCTGAACCGCGTCAATTCCTGCGACCCTATCCGACCGGACGACCTCCCGGTCCAAACCCGGTTCGCGTTCGGCCTGGCCGTCGGGGTCGGCGGGGAGATTCTCCCGGAGACGCTGGAGAAGATGCTTGAGATCTGCGATCGCGTGTTTGTCGACGTCCAGGGTTTGATTCGCAGGTTCGGTCCCTCCGACGGTCGCGTGAGCCACGTGGCGCTCAGCGAGAGCGGGTTCCTCCACCTCTTGCCGCGCGTTGCGTTCCTCAAGGCCTCCGCTGACGAGGCCTCGTTCATCGATGTGGAGGAGGTCAGAAGGTGGTGTTGCGTGGTCGTCACGCACGGGGAGGATGGGTGCGAGGTTTTTCGCAAAAACGGTGCGTTTCGTGCCGCGCCTTTCGGGGCTGATCAGGTCGATCCCACTGGCGCCGGCGACTGTTTTCTCGGAGGGTTCGCTGCTGGGATTGCGAGGGGCTTGAACGTGCATGACGCAGCTCTGTTGGGGAACTTCTTTGGGTCCTTGGCCGTGGCGCAAGTGGGACCCCCCAAGCTTGACTCCACCTTGCTTCAGGTTTGTTTCTGACAGTGTTTTTTCATCAATTGGTTTAATGGTGATGATGTTTAGGGTAGTTTGATCCTGGGGTTAATGTGAGGTAGAGATGGTTTGTTTGGCTTGTGATTTTGGATTATTGGATTTGTAATTTCGTAGAAGTGAATAAGTGTGATTAGAATATACAGAAGGGCAATCGGTTAATGAAAAATGTAACCCTTGGGGGTAGGATACTGCGAACCCTTAGGATAGGGTTTTTTCTGTTGTTTTTGTTAGCTGAGAATGTGATAGTGATTCTAAAATTTGGCCCCAGTTGAAGGCATAACCGCCCAAGGCAATTATTTTAGAAGATGGACATAGATTTGAAAGATTAAGTGTTGATTTCTGAATTGGTCATTAATTGATAAGAGGTGGGTTGGAAGTGATGAATGTTATTGACTAGTTTGATATTTTTGTTGAGATTTACCTTGTATCAGATTCAGAGCTTTCCAACCGCCAAATTGCTAGTTTCTTTGTCTAGAAAAAAATAGATATTTATATTTATGTTTGTGCTCTGAGAAAATTTTAGGACTGCTACATATTATTTTTATGAACAACATACATATCCCTGAGAAAATTTTAGGATTGCTGCTTGTTCGTTTTTATGAAGAAAATAGGTAGTTAGATTTATATTTGAGCCCTGAGAAAACTTTAGGATTGCTGCTTGTTCGTTTTTATGAAGAAAATAGGTAGTTAGATTTATATTTGAGCCCTGAGAAAACTTTAGGAGTGCTACATGTTATTTTTCTGTGTAAACCTTGTTTATATTTCTTACTTGCTTTTTAGAAGTTTGTAAGTAATGTGGTTACATACATATACTAATTATTAAGGAGAGATGAAGATAACGAGGTTGACAATTAAAAGGAAATGGAAATGAAATGAACAAGGACTTTTTTTTTTTTTTTTATGTAACAGTAGTTTGATACTGTTAGATTGCTAGCAAAGTGGAGCTTAATCAAATTTCAACTTTTTACTCCTGATATGTACGGAAGCTGGCTATGCTTATCAATGGAAGTTCTTTTTAAAAATATCGTGAGTTACTTCATGGGAATCTATATATAGTTTTATCAATGTTACTACTACATGAAGCCCGTTTTAGTTGTTGGAAACTTAGGATATGCTATATCTGCTACTTATTATCAAGTGATTCTGCTAGCTGTGTCATGTCAGAATTGCCTACTTATCAGTGTTGCCTTTTGTTTTCGTTGGTATTATTATGCTACTTATTATGGAGTGATTCTGCTAACTTTCGATGATAGTTTTTGTTCATCATGGACAATTCACAATTAGACAACGGCTATTTCATTATCAACGAGTTTGGATCCTTGCTTCTGATCAACTTATGTATGGTTGCATTCTAAAGCATTATTTGGTTGCCTTTTTTTCTTTTGAATAATATGACATGCAAACATAAATATACATATGTTGGAGATGTTATTCCTAACACATGTGATATTGTATAATTCTAATACACATTTAGAGTCAAAACAAGTTAAAGGTAATAAGAGGGATGAGTCCAGACTCCAAAATGGCAAGTTATTTTTGGGCGAATACGTCAAGTTGCCCACTAGTATACACTCCCTCACTCTTGACAAGGGCAAAAATATAATTTGTTAAGCAAACTAAAAATGAATCAATTAACCAAAAAGGACCGAGACATATATCCTAAAAAAGGTTAAAAAAAATAAATGAAATATATTCTACGATTTTAGACATTCCAAACATTTCTGTGAATGACTAAAAAAGATGAGCAAATTGTGTCTGTTGAATTTGCTTACAAGTTAAAAGTAAAACTAAAGAGCCCTCTAAGCCTCTGTGATCATGCCATTTTGCGCTTCAAATTTTGATCATTGCAATTTTTTGTTATGTGTCTTTTTTTAAAGGTATTACATGTATTCAAATATTGCAGGATTGATATCTCATTATCCTGTATTACATAAGAATATTTCAGATATTAATTCTCTCAAAAGAGAAAAATTGTTTGGAGAATGGATATGATCCATTTTATTAAACCTGGAAACCAAAACACCTAATAAAACTCGAATCCTGCAGCCTTGGAAAGGTTAGAAAATTTTAAGTAATTCATGTGCTTCAATCTCCATTATGGCACAAGAATGATTCATGGGAAATCATATTCACCTAAGAAATTAATTATTATTTGAAGTCTGTCTGTTTACTCAGTAGTGGTTGAATTCATTTAATTTTAAACTCCTGTTTGAGTTATTTCTTTTCTGTGGTTACCTTGGTCTTGGTCGATCTTAAGAAAGAAAATGCATGCATCAAATGTAGTGAATATCATAGAAAAATTGAATGGAGATTGGGTAAAAAGACTTGGCAAGATCAAAGAAAGTGTCTGCCATCTGCAGCAATAAGAATAGACCATCGATTTAGCTTCTCAAGTTGGTATATTTTACCAATGTTCAGAGAATAATTTGGTGGATTTTTCATCACTCGGAGGACTATTTATCATGATTTTTATTACTTGTAGGATTACTTAATTCTTTTACTCTAGGAACCGTTTAGGAGAGAGAATAATACTTCAACGATGAAATTAAGAGTTTATTGGCAGCAATTAGTAGAAGTTAATGATCATTAGCATATGCTTGAGTAGATTAGGTTCGTAGCTGATTCCTTATATTTGTCAATCAATTGGTGCTGACTTCTGTTCTCTATTGAGTTGTGTCTGTATTGTGAAGAGTAGAGATTTGAGGGTGTTTGTGTTCATATATTCATCTGCTCCTGTTAGCAATGTAAAAGTTTAAGTAATGATGTATCCCTCACTTTTGTTAATATAATACAAAATTTCAGATGGTCAAGGATGAGATGCAGAAAAGGAAGGTGCAGGGTATTCCCAGCTTAGAAAGTAGAGATGAGTGCCCGAGGATTCCGAAGCCACATGAACAAGACCAGTTTTATGCATCTCTTGTTACTGCCAAAGACATAATTACACGTCAGAGTCAAGAATCTGGACAGATTCTACTAACCTCTCATAAAGTGTTGGAGCAAACAACTAACGTGAAGGCAATAATGCTTCCACTGAATTCTGTCTGCGAGGAATCAATTCCTAGCGTTGATGGAAAAACCTAATATGGTATGGATGTAGTTCCATATCAAAGTGAAATTCGCCAGTGCCCTTCATTATAGGTATGGATGTAGTTCCATATCAAAGTGAAATTCGCCAGTGCCCTTCATTATAGGAATCGTTCATTTTATGGTTCCTTTTGTACACCAAGTCTCACTTGCAGCCTAATTTGTAGTTTTACTTGTACTAAATTACTAATAAGTTATTCTTGAAAAAAAGCAAGAGATTGAAATTCTATTGATGTTTGTATGCCTTGCCATATCCACATTTGTGCCCTTTTTTTGGGATGAGTTTTGCTTCCAAGAAATAAGAACAAGAGACAATACTTAGGTAAAACCGTTTAATTGCAATGTGACATGACACTGTTCTATTAGTTTGCCAACTTTTAGTAAAGTATCATATTGTTGGGTTGACTGGCTTTGTTTGGGATCTTGTTGCATGCTGTATAGTGTGACCTTACATGTCAAACTAACATTCTTTTACTCATTTTATTGTAAGTATTTTAGATTGTTGCTTATACAAGGTTGGTTTCTTTTATACAGACTAGTGATTAGAGTCTACCGTGTCAATTTGTGTCTGAACTATGATTTATAGTATAAATAATAGTAAGTAAATCTTTATGCTCTAGTACGAATGAGAAGTAAAGAAAATTCTAAATGGCAGAATCTTATGATTATTTATAGCATAAATCATATTAACTGGATAATTGTGTGGTAAAATGACAATAAGGATTTTTAAATGGCAGTTTCTTATAATAAGTATTTCAAGCAAACTTGTGCTCATAATCAACCTTTTGGGCATCAACCCTACCTTTCATAACTAAACGTTGCAATATTAGCTGTTTAACATAGTCGCATTTTCAGTTATTATCTTTGTTACATTAGATCTAATAGATATAGATTTATCTAGTTATTGCTTTTTTGTCATAAAATACTGGGATTTGGAAAAAAAAAAAAGATGACAATTATAAACAGAAAGGATGTAGAGTATAAATATTTTTTACACTTTCCTTTTATCATAACTTTTGACATATAATGTATAAATTAAAAATAGTTTACGAGTAAATTTCCGTAATATTATATATATATATATATATATATATTGATTTTACTATTCATTTCACAACATTTTAAATTTTATTTTTAAAATAATATTATTTTTATTTTTTATAATTTTAAAAACATTTGAACATGTATTTTTACTAGTGTATATAATAAATTTGATAAGTTCTGAAATAAAGATGTTATAAGCTATATTATTAAATTTTTTTGCTATATTTTAAAAATAATCTCAAAATGATTTCTCATTGATAAACTTTTGTGCATATAATCCTTTTAGAAACTGTAACTCGTATATTACTGTAAAATTTGTAATTAAAACTTAACTTTAATAAAATTAATCAACGGCATTCTACACAAAAATATCCCTGAATTTAATTGAAGAGTAATGATATTTTTAATTATAAATCATACAATCCTTTAAATAATTTACTTTTATTAATATAATAATTTATAAAATGATTGAATAAAAATAAAAAATAAAATAAAATTATTATTATAATATTAAATTATTTTTATTAATATAATAATTTATAAAATGATTAAATAAAAGTAAAAAATAAAATAAAATTATTATTATAACATTAAAAGAGAGTTGTTTATAAAAGTTATATTGATTTAGGTGGTGAGATTATCATTTTCCTTAATTGAATACCCCAAAATGGCGTCCCGCTTAACGCTTCGGCATTCCCTTTAACCAGCGAAGGAAAATCGGTAGGGACTGGTCTAAGCCTTTACCTTTTTTAAATCTGCTTATAGCGGTTGCGCCGCCGTGCCGCCTCTCGTTGTGAATTTTACATTCATTCTCACTGTTGTTTCCACCGTGCCGTCGTGAAGAACAGTTGTTCCGTAGCACAGGGATGGCAGATTCAATTTGTAGAACACTGAGGGATGGAGCGTTAGAGGGAGAGCTTGCACCCACTCTCACAATCAAAGACTCTCTCGCTTCGCCTTTTGCCTTCCATGTATTCTCTCACATTCTACTTCAACTCTCATCACACATCATCGCTCAAAAATCCCAGTCACAGTCAGTTTACTATCCCCGATTTATTTATTATTATTACTTTTTTTATCACACAGTTCATATTTTTAACCTTCAAGTTTTGTATGCTCGTGTATAGGGGCATAGTAATTGTTGCACTTAAGCGGAGTCCATCGTTTTATGCTGCTGTGTTAAACATGAATGGTGTGGATGTTGCTTCTTCTAACAAATGGTAAATTTTTAAGCCTAATTGTTTAAAATGTCTTTTTGTTGTTTTAATTGCATTTCTTGTGTCTTACCATTCTTTTTTGGTAGTTCGTCTCAATCTCGAATTAATTTTTGATTTGTTGAATTCATAATGGTATGTTATTTTGTAGGATTCACATTTTAGATTGTTATTCAGATCCTCTTGGTTGGAAGGAAAAGATAAGGAAACCAGTAAACGTTACAAATTGTTCTCACCAAATTTCGCTTGCTACTAGTTCTTTTAAAACTGTGAAGGATCTGGATAAATTGTTTTTGGTAATCACTGACCTGGGTAGAGGTATTGCAGATAAATTGTTATATAGCTAAAGTTAGCTTATAATTTGTCTTCTATATTTTACTAAATAAACGTTTTGCATCAGTTAATGGATTTCATGCTTACGGTTTTGATAAAATCGTTTCTCTTTTGAATAATTTTTCTAATTCATATACCTGCAGGATTGGTTGGAGAAAATAAATCCCGCTTCTGTGTTGCGATAGACTCGGTTCGTATTCATTATGTGCTTGTCAAAATAGGATAAAAGATATACAGAGCAAATACCATTCCCATAACTTTGAATGAAGTTGAATTTAGTTTGATGGTGTAATGAGAATAAATATTCTTTGTGCCTCAATGCTGGATATGTTGAATGAATAAGTACCTGAATACTTTATGATTGTGAAATTAATGAGAATTTTTTTTGTTTTCATTTCCCCGCTAATGCAAATAACCCTGGAACAAGCACATCTATTCTTGAGATGGGCATAAAAAATTACATTATATCTATGATTATTATACCAATTTGAAAAATAGATGCTTATTTCATTGCATGGAATATGTGGGCTTACGTTCTAAGATTCATACTGTTTCAATAGTTATTAATTCAGCTAATAGGAACTTATTAACTTTGGCCACATCAAAGGGTGACGGAGACTTCGGAGCTCTTGGATATTTTAATTTTTTATGTAGTTCATTTTGCATGGTAACCTTAACTATCAGATGATTTGAATTCTAAAGTTGGCTTCCTCAAGGTTAAAAGGCTTGGGGAAACAGGAAAATCAGGAGCAGAATGCATCAATTTATCTTGTTTAACCTTTCAATTTTTCTTGTAAAAAAATGAACTGTTAAGCCCTTATAAAACTGTTACAATTTTTTTTTTCCAGTCTAATCTATTTGTATGTGTATATTTCAGATTTTCCTTTTACACCTAAATTCTTTTGAAAGAACTTCCTGCTCAAGGATTCTATGTGGAATATACTATTTAAGACTTTATGGTTGGTTTCTCTTGTATTATTAGTTTGTGTATCTGTAATCCTAATGGATTCTTGTTGGATATTATCAGCTAAGTGAACTGTTGAGGCATGCATCTTTGCAGTCAGTTGCCGGACTTCTTAGCGATCTGCGTAGCCATGGTAACTATTTTTAGTGAAGTTCCTTTCATAATTAAGTAAATTTGTTGGACTATCTGAACAAGTGGGATAGTTGATTATTTTAGCAACTAAAGTTATAGCATGGATTTACTTGATGCTCAACAATTTCTTCCTTACATTTGTTGCTGTTCGATTGTTGCAGATCAAATTTCAAATATTTTTGGATTATTGCATTCTGACCTCCATGATGAGAGGGCTGTGGCTGCTCTCGAGTACATGTCCTCCATGGTAGCCAGTGTGGACCCATATTATCATTCTGCAGATGGTCAGAAAGGAAGTTTAGACAAATCCTTTTCTGAGCAAAACTTTACCAAGGGAAAGTTTAATGTCAGGTCCAAACGTAGAAATGGGCGAGTTCGAGTAACGGTGATCAATTTATTCCTGTTTGTAACCGGATTTGGAATGACAAATCTAAAAATTTGATGCACTGATATAACATCACTCTACCTTTATCCAGTGTGAAGAATTTAAAGTTGAGCCTGGAGGAATCAGCTTTGCGCCTGTTTTATCAGTAGATGAAACTGCCATTGCAGGCCTACTGCCAAAGGTCAGTCTATAGTTTCCTGTAGATGGAAAAGTTGTACTGTGAAGTTATGTATCTGTCACTAGAATCAAAAGCCAAAGTACTAACAACCTTCTTGTGATTAGGTATTTTATTTTTGAAAGGAAAATGATCTACAAAAGAGATCTTTCGTTTGTTCAATCCCCTCTTTACCACAAGGTTTTTCTGCTTTTGTTGAATGGAGTGTATAGCATTCACAACACAAGGCCTTTTCCAGAAAATAATAATAATAAAATTTAGATGCTAGGAAAGATGAAATCAAGCATAATGTCCAAGTTCTAACTACTTCCCAATGTGCAGATTGGTTCATCACTTTGTCAGTTTATGTTCTTATGGCTTCTAAATTTACATATTTACATTTATATTTTCTGCACACAAGATTGATGATAGAATCAAAGTGTCTTATATCTAATTTCCAATGGGCACAAACTGTCTTTAGAAACATCTCATGTGCTGAAGAAATGCGTATACATGCTAATGACTTCCTTTATTCACCTACTCGAAACATGCATGAAGATACTTACTTTTGATAACAGAGGATATTGGCATATGCATAACTAAAGTCGGAAAAACCTATTTGGAAATACCATAAAAGACCAAGTGATGAATGCTTTGTGCTATGCAGATGATTCCTTTTTGTTTACTGTAAATAAATAATAAGAAAAATCTTGATGTGTTTTAATAGGTACAATTCAATCTCCAGCTTTCAGAGAAGGAGCGAATTGATAGGTCAAATGTTGTGCTTCCTTTTGAACACCAGGGTATGAAATTGATTTGTATTTTGTTCATTTATTTTTACGTCGTTTTAGTTAAAACTCTTATACTTAAGCTCTTTATCCTTTAAGGAACCGGTAAACCAATAAAAATTTATGATGGTAGAAGATCCCTTGAAGAGAGCAACAGTGAGGCAAATCCCATTTCAAGTGGTAAAAAGGAGGATTCTGCCGTGGGTGAGATTATATATTTTCGTGATTCAGATGACGAGATGCCAGATTCTGATGAGGACCCGGATGATGATTTAGATATATGAATACACTCTTGTAGGTAACATCTGTATCCGTAGTTGACTTCAAGGATAGATTACGTTTTATGACAGAACAAAATGAGAAATAAATGCCAATACTGTTTAATTGAAGAGAAGTGAAATACAGAGTATGTATCGTATTCTAATGTACAGCCAACTCGAACTTGACTAAGGGCCTGTTTGGATATAACTGTTTTTGAGAACTTATCTACTGGAAGTATTGAGCTTTTTTCAGCAGAGAAGCTCTTAATAAACTTTTCTGGCTTTGTATCTATCCCAACAGACTCTTAGTTTGGATTATTTTGTGAACGTTTCTGCCGATTGCTTTTCACCCGTCTTTACAAACCTTATTCTTGCTTCAACTGGCAATAGGAAAGCCCTTTTCTATTAATTCACCACAGCAATTTGAACCATTGACTGAGCTGCATACTTCAAAGCAGGTATTTCAGACTCTTCAGGTTTTGTCCAAATATAGAAAGCAAATGGATTTATTTATTTTTAATTCCTTTCATCTTTTGTCTTTTTAGGTTGAGATGGACGTAACTCATTTACATTTATAGGGATTAAAAATTGAAGTACCTAATACTAGTTCTAACCAGTAAAATATTAGGCTAAGGTATGTTTATAATTTTGTTCCGAGCAGAAGAAATATAAACATAATGTTGAAAGAGGCTTACTACTTCCATTTCTTTTTAAATATTATTTAAAATGATCGTAGAAATTAAAAATTATTTAATTTTTTATTTGATTTTTATATTACTTTTTCATTCGTTATCAATTAAATTTTCTGTAATTTATTATTCTTTGTTTTTCTCTCTAATTTCTTGATAAATATGTAAAATAATTAAAAGTTATATGTTGGACTTTTTAACACAATAATAGTTAATCTTAAAACTTTAAGTCGAAAAAAAAATAGTTTTTCTAAAATTTTGACACTTAAAAAGGATTGGGTAATTTATGATTGTGATAAGAGAAATGAAAAAAAAAAAAATAGTATATTGAAATACAACTAAACTGCTTGATCATATAGTTCTTTTAGATTTGTCCCTTGAATAATATGATGTGTAAATTAGCATGAGTTAAACAGATGAGACATATTTTTAATAAAGAATTTGGCTAGGCTATGTTTGAATTCACCTTCAATCATTTCAAATTCAAGGATTTACCTCTAAAATATTTATGATTTTGCAAATTACATCATTAACTTAATTTTGATAGTTAAAGTAATAAAAATAAAATTTCATTAAGAAAATCAAAACAAAAATTATTAGAAATAGGTCAAAAATATGTTTTAACTTATATTTTAACGGCATGTAAAAACTATTCCAATAGTTACATATAAAGTCCCTTTAACCAATTTTTTAAAAAATCCCACTAACTACACTTTTTACTCTAACTTTTACGCTTTCCATACAGTTGCAGCCCAGTTGGCACTCCCCTCGATTCACTTTCTCGTGCTGACCTATCCAACACGCCATCTCAGCTCCAAGATATTTATTTTTTTGCATATTTTATTCCTTTGAAATATTGATAGCGCGGAAGCTATTTCTTTATTCATTTATTTATCGTACTCAAAACCAACGAGATATTTATCTCCTTTCACCACCGTCTGTCACAAAACTCGCTCACAGTCCCGAATCGCCTATCGCCAACTCTCCAACCACACCAAATCATTCCACTCTTATTGGACGGTCACCATTAAATATCACCTACCAAATTCACAAGAATAACCGCCACCATTTGGTCAATGCCCCCATGCCTCCAACTTCTCCCTGCCGCAAGAAACGCCACAACTAAGTTCATTCTAACACTTTTCTCAAATCCAGAGACGCTCATCGTGTGAACAACGAAATGTTTGATCATACTTGAAAATTGGGATTCGGCGGATATGGACGAAACCGCCGTGAAGACGAAGCCTGATTGGCTTAACAACCGCGTCAAGGTCCCCGGAGAGAAAACCGAAGACTTCGAGGACGATGATGAGGACGAGGACTGCGACGGCGACGATGAAGCTTGGAAAATGCTTTGTAGGAGCTTCCGAAAGGCGCAGACGGTGCTGGACGAGAACCGTGCGCTGATCGAGGAAGTGAACAGCAACCACGAGTCAAAGATTCCTGACAACATGGTGAAGAACGTTGGCCTCATTACTCAGATCCACGGCAACATCTCCAAGGTTCGCTCTATTTACTCCGATTTATCGGTGAATTTCTCCAACATTGTTCGCCAGCGCCGCGTCACCGTCGCGAACCACCTCAATCGCGACGGAGACTGTGAAGAGGATGGAGATGAAGCGGAGAAATCGGAGGACGATTCCTTGGAGCACGTGCAGGAGAAATCGGAGTAATTCTTTGTTACCTTATATATGCTATATGTTTGTGATGGAGGTAGTGTTTTTGTTGTTGTTGTTGTTGTTGTTGTTGTTGTTTGTCTGTGTTGTAAGGATGGTTGAATTGATGATGCGGGAATGCATAGAACATTATCCACCCGCAGATATGAGGTATTTATGTCAACGTTTGATTTTGTTTTTTCATGGTTGCTTTGATTTCTATTCTTTTGTTTCAAGGAGACCCTGTGGAACTGAGAAGCAGGGAAGGGGAAAGGGGACAGGACAAGGATTGAACCTGTGTCGTATTTCACCATGGTAAAGATTTTCAGGGCCAGTGCTATGTGAGCTACTAGTTTACTGTCTCATATCTTTGTTATTAACGTGTTAATGATGTATAGATAGTTGTTAAGGTTACTGGTTGGTTGATTATGTTGATATATGAATTCAGATATTCGCCATCAAATGTCTATGAGCTTAAATGTAAACAAAACTAGTTTGCTGGGAGATTTCTGTAAACTGAATAATGGCCTTTGTTTTAGCTTTAATTCTAGGAGAACTACCTAGCTACCATCGATGAGTTTTTGTCGTAGTGGTGTTGGTTACATGGATAATTCAATGACCTTTACTAGTGTTTTTTACACTAGCTAAACCACCAATGACAAGTTTTCATCATTCTCCTCGATAGGTGTTACTATAACACCTAATTATATTAGTTCATAACCTTTTGGTTTCTTCTGTGCGTATCATCTACCTTTGTCCGCCACACTTGCTTTTTGCCCCACGGATGCTGAACAGAATGGTCTGATATAAATTGACACCTTTGCTGTTGCACTACTTGGCATGTTTCCATTCATTGATGATGCTCGCAGAGTATATCCTTTTATACGAGACTATGAAGCAGAATATAGACTCTCATGTATAAAGAATCAGGTATTGTGAATAGGCACGTCGAAGGAGGAGGGCAGGTCCAGCCCAGCCTTTTTTTTAATCATCCAGTCGTTGTTTTTTTATAGGATATAATTTATTATTTTAATATAAAATCTAGAAAAATATACTTGAGTATTAGATTTTACTAAAATTGATAAAAGTTATGCAAAATGATAAGTAAAAATCTAAATAACTTTGAACTAAAAATTGAACAAAGGAAAGTTTTGTATAACCTAAATCTTTATCTAACATCCTCGGTAAAACTAAAATTTGAAGAAAAAACTGTTCAACATGAACTCCAAATGTTAATACTATTTAGTAAATTTATATGAAATAACTTACAAGAAACGTAGCAACGGAAAAAAGTATAATAAACTCTATGCAAAAGAATAAAGATTCAAGACAAATTAAATAAACAAAATATATTGACAAATTTAATGTAAGTAAAAAAAAAAAAGATAACATGGAATAACAATAGGGATATTAAAGGAAATTGATACATAAGGATTTCAAATTTGTTAGCTATGTTTTGTAGTTGTTTAAAGAAATGATGGATAACAGAGTATTTATGAGTTTTATTTATCTTTGTGGGTCAACAAAATTTTGATTTTACTAGGGTTGAAAATTTTAATTTTTTTAAAATTGATTAAATCGGTAAGACTAGTTGTAGAGTCAAATCATGTTTGAAAGCACATAGGATTTTAATTTTTTTCTTAAAACATTATTTCTAGCATGAGTTTTTAAAAAATGGATTTTTATTTTTATTTTTTAAAATATATTATTTATTAAATTTAAAATAATTATTTAACAAATAATATATTTTAAAAAAATAAAAAAAAATCTTATTTTTTTAAAATAAATTATGAAAAACTCGTGTTAGGTAGCACCGATTCGATATAATGATATTATATATAACTCTTGTTCTTAAACACGTTTTTATAAAAACAATTAAAATTATGTTTAGAGCAGTAAAAAATGTATTTTCAAGTCCAATTTTATAACCTTGAATTCATTGAACAATTTTTAAATTTTCGACCTTTTTATAGAATAAAAAAAATTAACCCAGAATAATAATAATAATAATAATAAAACTGTATTTGTGACATGTAAAACAATACCTCCAATAAATCTATTATGGAAGATTATGCGTTCCTTCAAGCATTTGTTTTATTGTATGTCATCTCTCTTCCTCTCTTTTCATTTCTTCTGGATTCTTTTAAATATGTTAACTTCTTATTCAATATATTTTGACTTTATGGATTAAATTTTAATCACCTTCTTCAATTCCCTTCTTTCTTTTTCAAATATAAATGTATTTTTCTAATTAACGTTCAGCCCTAATATCTTAGTTATTCTTGTCACTATTTGTTATGAAAATCCATAATCTTCAACCTCACATAATTTCTATCAATTTTTCATCAAATTGATAAAAGTAACAACCTGTATTTTCATTGTGACTTAAGTTTTTTAAATCTCATTATTTTTATGTAATGCTATGTATTTTTCACTATTATTTTTTTATTTTCACTATTTTAATTTCATATATTATTTTTCTTAACTCTTTATACTTAATTAGATGTGTTTGTGTTTTGTAATTTTTTTATATTTATAATTTTTATAGGAAATAATTTCAAAATTGAATTAATGGCTTCAGATTGATTTAAAATTAAGTAAAAAATAAAAAAATGTGAGTTTTTTTTAAGTTTCTTATTATTTATATAAAATAGTGAATTAATTTCTTATAAACGATAGAATACTATCAAGCACCTTTTTTTTTAATGTAATAAGAAATTTAAATGAATATTTTTATTAACAATTGTAAAAGTTGTCTTACATAATTCGTATGAAAATAAGTTTTTTTATTATTTATTTTTTAAAACATTAAGTAGTCTGTTTTAAGTGAGAATAAGAAATAAGTTCATTCAACTTATTATATATACATATAGATGATATTTTGACACGGTAAAAGACAAAATCATTCATTTAACTATTTTTAAATTTTTATATTATTATTTATCTATTTTATTTCATTTTTTCTTTATCAATAAAAAAAATATTTTAAAATTATTTATCATATATTTGTAACATTGGTTTTCAAAAAATGTTTTCCCATATATATATATATATTCCCTTGCATGCGATGATATTGTTCTTATCATATCATCTGATACATACCTTTACCCACACTTCACTTTGCATATTCCTAACGTTTAATAGGATGGAGATGTTTTTATTATTGAAATGTATCATAAAAGAAAGGTCAATGCATGCAATAAAGCAATCTCTTTCTTGTTAACAAAAACAATCTATTTTAAGTGTTTTGAACATGTTCCTTATCATCATTGTATGAGCATAAATGCGAACTTAGGCTCCAAGCCATTCCTGCTCATTTTCAAAAGCTGTCACACCTTTCTTTGCTGTCTATTATGTCTGTCTGTCTCCTCCTCAATTGACATTATCCGAAACAACAATGGCCACCTCAACCAGACACCTGTCTCATAAATCGTCTAAACAGCACTTCAAAGTCTGTTTCTGTTTCAGGAGAATGTTTAGGCTCAAAGTAGCTGAACCCCCTGACGAAATCAACAATATTTTTGAAGAGTATTCACGTAATGGCGCCATGAACATGGATGGCATGTGCAATTTCTTAGATCAATATCAAGGAGAAAAGGAAGGTGTCTACGCACTTGCTCAAACCATTTTTGACAGTGTCAAGCATCTCAACATATTTCAAAGGAGAGGCCTTCATGCCGAGGCCTTCTTCCGTTACCTCTTCAGTGACCTTAATGGTCCCCTTGCTGAGGTACTATATATTTGGTTCACCGCTGATATAGTTTGAGGAGTTTATCATAATTTCATGCACTTAATATCATCATCTTCTAATTATACATATTTTGAACTTTTCTCATATTTCTGGTGTGTTTTGGATCTGCAGGTGCACCATGACATGACTTCTCCTTTGGCTCATTATTTCTTATACACAGGCCACAACTCCTACTTAACTGGAAATCAAGTTAGCAGTGCTAGCAGTACTTCCGCCATAATAAAGGCATTGAAGAAAGGAGTCAGAGTGATTGAGCTAGATCTGTGGCCAAATTCCAGAGGCGACGATGTGCTAGTTCATCATGGAGGGTATGAATTTATATAGTTTTCAGTATTATATTTGGTGGGTCTATACTTCAATTTTCTAGTATAAAAGTAACATGTAATACGTAGATACGCAGACAATTATGCAATGTTATAGCCATTTAAGGGTCGACCTAAAACTCTTTACATAATTTTTTGGACTGATAAATGTGAATGAGCTTGTCATGAATTTATCGATGAGACCTTAACAGCATCATTGTAAACATTTAGTCTCTATATTTGTTAGTAGTCTATGACTGATTTATTATATATCTTGTTTTCCATCCCCCTAAAATTGCTTTTATAAACTTCAAAAGGTACATTGTTCTCAAATATAATAATACCATAAGAAACACCATAACTTAGTGTCAATTAAGAGCTTATGTTAACTTTTAAAAACTAGACCAAACACAATTTTAGTGTCAATTTACAATGTGAATTTGTTTAGACAAAATTTTCATAAATATAAAAGAAATTAAATATTTTTCATAAATTAAATTAATTTATCGTACGTGATTATATTCACCAACAATATATTCTGTCAGACGTCAATCTTATCACGAGGCCTTATTACCAAGTGTTTGATTTTTTAAACTCAATAAAATTTTTATAAAAATAAATCTTATAAAATATGAAAAATTCTAATATATGTCTGTTATTCGATACGAATCTTTCTCATCGTCTTAGTCTAAACATCTGTAAAATATTTTGAATGTTGCTCCTCTCAAGACAAGAAAGAAGCCAAATTCTTGAGTAGACAGAGATCGAGTTCCAAAGATATTGTTAGAGAAGAAATAAAAAGAGAAAGTTACTCTCAGATAATAGATACTCTGAGAAAGAGAAAAACATTATGTTACATAATCTAGGATGAAATTTGTTGAGAGATCATCTTGCATGAACAAAGATGTATTATAAGCCTATTTATAACAATGAAGATTGATTTGCCAACTTGGTCCTAGTACGATAAGAAGATTTTCCACACCAACATTATTTGTATCATTTTTTTCTATATACTCTGTTTTTAGGCATTTGAAACTTTGAAGTTGGTATATCTGAAACTAATTGATTTTCTTTACAAGTGTAGGACTCTGACTTCTTCAGTGAAACTAAGAGCTTGTCTGAATGCCATCAAAGAAAATGCATTTTCCGCCTCTCCGTATCCTGTTGTTATAACTTTTGAAGACCATATCACTCCATTCCTTCAAGACAAAGTGGCCAGGGTTCGTCTAACTCATGTTACTGAAGTATGTCTATCATGGTTTGAAAACCCTAATAACATTTTTTAGTGGAAATGAACATATTTTAATACAGATGGTCGTTGAAATATTTGGAGATACGTTGTTTTGCCCTGAAAATCCACACCAAATGAGGGAATTCCCTTCTCCCGAAGCATTAAAGCTAAAAGTTCTGATATCAACTAAACCACCAGAGTCTTCTGAAAGTCAGGGCCAGAGGACAGTAGAGGAAGCAGCACAGAGACTCGAGGACAATGGTGACAGATCTAAAGTCAATTACAAGGTGAAAATAATTTTAGTAAACGTATGTGCTAGTTACAAGGTTTTTGTAATCAGGTTTCTTGTGTTGGCTTCTTGCTGTCAGGATGGTTCAGATGATGTGGATGAGGAGGATGACACTCCTGAATATAGGGATTTAATTTCCATTCGTGCAGGGAAGCCCAAAGGGAAGGTTAAAAACTGGCTGGTTAATCACGAACAAGTGAGACGCCTAAGCTTGAGTGAGCAAGAGCTTGAAGATATTGCCAAAAATCATGGAACTGACATTGTCAGGTCATTCATTTCAACATTTTTTAAACATGAGCTCATATAAAGTTCCATTATTGATACACATCTATCATATTACAGATTCACCCAAAGACATTTGCTAAGAATATATCCAAAGGGTACTCGTGTGGACTCGTCTAATTATGATCCCATGATTGGATGGATGCATGGAGCTCAAATGGTAGCGTTTAATATGCAGGTCGGACTTTTTCTTTACATACACAATTACGAGTTTGGAAGGAGATGTTGGAAAAACAATAACAATAATAATAATAATAATAATCCTGATTTTGATTCTAACAATCAAACATAAACATAATCCCATACTGATAAACATGCTGTAAACTGAATGCGAAAGCGTACCTGAATTAGCCATAATGATGATGTCTTTGTAGAGCACTATATTGATCTTATGGTCTTCCACCTGAAGAAGCACTCGTATTTCCCTCTTGATTTTCTCTCTTGATGGGGATAGAAAGAAGGAACAGGACTGATACTTACGTTACGTGCATGTGCTTCTCGAAGGGGACCATGACCCTTTAGATAACCAGAATTAGGTTAATTACTTAAGTTTTAGTATTTCCAATTTGGCCCCTCATCAAATTAGAAATTGCGCTATGGTCTCTACACAATTTTATTTTCATGACATATGCTTTTAGCCAAAACTTTAATTTAGTTAGATCACTTTATTATTTGGCTTAATAAATAATGACCCTAACACATTTAAATTATGTATCATATATATACATGACCCAAATTTTTCCAACAATCTCCCACCTGGTCACAAATATATATGTCCTTACAACCTTACAAATGTGTTAGACTTTATGAGCTCAAAATTGCCATTATATTCCTTTAGCATACTCCAAAAGTCCTGTCCATTAATCATATTAGGATATAGAACCAAACCAGACTTTTCATTGCATCATCGCAACTAAAACCAACAATGATCACTCATCCTAACATAACCAAATGACATGGATTCATCATGAAATGTGTAGCATGAAAAATTACGTGAAGGTGATCTGTACACGTCTATTTTCAACTGGTCCAAACTTTAACTTATTGAGATCGATATAATATCCTTAATGTACAAAGTGTAATGAATGAACGAAAAAACCGCATATCTATAGATAACCAAATATGTCCAAAAAACAATGTATACATATATGAAATTAAACATAGAACATAAAATATATGAAAGTGACTAACTCCCACTAAACCACAAATTCCTCAAACTGTAAAACACCCATGTGAGCAACATGCTCATGAAAGACCTTGGGCGGAAGTCCTTTAGTTAGAGGATATGCTATCATGGAGTTTGTCCTTAAGTGTTCTATGGAAATCTGTCCACTTTGTACTCTTTCCTTAACAATACAAGTTGATTTATTGTCACAATATAACTTAAGTGGTCTTTCAATGCCTTTCACAATTTGCGACCTCGTGACAAAATTTCTCAGCCATATTTCATGATTTGATGCCTCATAGCATGCTACAAATTCTTGACATCCTACAAAATATGAGTCAGAAAATCCAGCGATCTCCAACTGGTCTGACATCCTATATGTGAGCATATAATCTTTTGTTCTCTTTAAATATCTTATGACCCTTTTTGCTGCTTTTCAATGGTCTATTCCTGGATTGCTTAAATATCTGTCTAGAACCCCAACTATGTATGCTATGTCTGGACGCGTACATACTTGGGCATACATCAAACTCCCTACAGCTGATGCATAGGGAATCTTTTGCATTTCCTCAATTTCCAAATTCCCCTTTGGGCACTGATTGAGACTAAACTTGTCTCCCTTTAAACTTGTGATACATACAATCATCAACAATATTCATCTTGAAGCCAAATGAGTTTCATACCTTCTGGTAATGGGACAAGTTCCCAATAACCTTATTGTCTTGCATGGACTTATACTTCTCCTTCATTGCTTCAATCCACTTTTCAGAGTTAGAACCTTGCATGGCTTGACGGAAGTTAACTGGGTCATCTTCCATCATACCATTATTATCTTCATGTTCCTGAAGAAATACCATGTAATCATCCGAAATAGCACTTCTTCTTTCTCTAGTGGATCTCTGCAAAGTTATTGGCTCATGATGCATAGGTTCTTGAGGATCTTGAGTTTGTTCTTCATGAACAACCAAATCATCTTGAGTAAGGGGTTCATTAACAATGCATTGTGGAGGTTCCGAACTTACTTTATCAAAAGTAACTGTTTGAATCGGTTCTGGAATTGTTACCGATTCTTCCTCTAAGACAAAGTTCCTGATTTTATTCTTCCCCCCAAACTCAATATCCTCAAAAAACGTAGCAGTTCCCGTCTCAAAAATTGTCTTTAATGTGGGATCATAAAATTTATATCCCCTGGATCTTTCAGCATAACCAATAAAATAACCACTTACTGTTAGGAGTCCAATTAAACTAATTATGCTCACATTATATAAAAAATAAATAATATATATTCAAATAGTGGTTTAACCCATCTCAAGATACCCAATGCACCATCAATATCAAGTCTTTGGACGAGTAATATTAACTGCTAGAGGTATCTTGTTGTAATAATCAAACATTGACAATAAAGCACGTCCAACAACAAACCAGTCTTTGGATTGATTTATCATCGACAAAGCAAATCCTTATAATTATCACATGTTTATCATTACAAGTGTGTATGCAATTCGGCCAAATATTAATCTTCCTTTGGGTCGACTAATACTCGCATGAATATACACAAACACTAACATTCAATATTTTTCATGAACTGCCCAATTCAAGAGAAGTTACTTTGGTGACTTCTTGACTCAATTTGCTCACAAAAAATATTAAACTACCAAAAATTGAATATTTTATTTATATAACAAAACCAAATATTTAATATTTGCAAACTAATTCAAAAGAGAATCACCTCATTATAATTCTACTAAGGATGAACACCTCCCTAGAATCTCATTAGGGATGAACACCTCATTTGAACAAATCAAAGGATGAAAAAAGGCCTCATTTTCCACCAATACATAAAGGATGAACATCTTCCTAAAATCACACTAGGGATGAAACAGAGATAGTTCGAGTCTCTTTAGCATACTGCTTCTAAACCCTAAAAGGAATTAAACAAGTAATCACTCGGACTCTAATTTAACATCAAATTTTCCTTAAATTCCTAAGGGATAGAGGCAATAAAATAATAACAGTCACACATGTGGAAACATTCATCATTTACCTAAGATTCTCTCGTGTTGGGAACTCCACAAACACCACCCCCAATTCCAAACTCATAAAATTAAATAAAAACAAAAGATTCAAAAAAGAACAGAGAACCCAATACAAGAAAAATTGAAATATGAAACACTCGTTTCTTTCTCAGTAAAACTTGAAACTTAAACTCGAAACAAAAGTGAAAAACGAAGAAGAAGAAAAATCCATAGCTTCCTCCACGTGCTCCATCAGCAAGCGTAATCAAATTGGGGATGTTACCCCCAAATTTAAATTTTAGGGTTCACAAAAATTAGAGATTATCCTCCACTTAGGGTTCATAAAATTGGGTAATCTGAATTGTTTAAAACAAAATTAATCCTAATTTTCATAATTAGGGTTCTCTAAATTAAATGGACATGAATCAAATATGGGCGGCTTCGATACCAATTGTTGGAAAAACAATAACAATAATAATAATAATAATCCTGATTTTGATTCTAACAATCAAACATAAACATAATCCCATACTCGATAAACATGTCAGTAAACTGAATGCGAAAGCGTACACTGAATTAGCCATAATGATGATGTCTTTGTAGAGCACTATATTGATCTTATGGTCTTCCACCTGAAGAGCACTCGTATTTCCTCTTGATTTTCTCTCTTGATGGGGATAGAAAGAAAGGAATAGGACTGATACTTATGTTCTGTCTGTATGCTCTCAGAAGGGGACCATGACCCTTTAGATAACCAGAATTAGGTTAATTACTTAAGTTTTAGTATTTCCAATTTGGCCCCTCATCAAATTAGAAATTGCGCTATGGTCTCTACACAATTTTATTTTCATGACATATGCTTTTAGCCAAAACTTTAATTTAGTTAGATCACTTTATTATTTGGCTTAATAAATAATGACCCTAACACATTTAAATTATGTATCATATATATACATGACCCAAATTTTTCCAACAGGAGATTCATAGAAACTAGTACTCTTGATATTCTTATATTGTCCATGCATGCACCATAACTTGACAGCAGCATAAGCAAAAATGGTAAGAAATCATAGAGGGTTTGATGTTGGCTTGCAACTTGTTCTGTTTTGCTTAAAGGGAGGAGGGCACCATCTTAGGTACATGGAAGGAATGTTCAGAGCCAATTGCGGCTATGGTTACGTTAAGAAACCAGACATATTGTTGAATGAAGACGAGGTTTTTGATCCAAAAGCATTACGACCAGTCCAGAAAGTTCTTCAGGTGACGAATGAAACAGACATACATGTTCATATTTAGTATAAACAAACCATTCATAGAAGAGACCAAAATGAAGTTTATGCACAAAACGCAGGTCTTGGTTTACATGGGTGATGGGTGGCGTTCAGATTTCGGCCCAACACATTTTGACTTCTATTCTCCTCCTGACTTCCGTGTACAGGTAATAAACACTTTTAATCACTGGTAATTAAAATAAGCAAACTTTACAAATATAAATAGATGAAAGATGATGAATGTGCAGATTGGTATTCATGGTGTTCCAGCTGATAAAAGTATGAAATACACAAGGACAATTGAAGATGATTGGGTACCATTGTGGAATGAAGAGCTCAGTTTCCCATTGACAGTTCCAGAATTGGCTCTGTTATACATCAAAGTCATTGAACGTGACTTTTCAGGGAGTCATGACTTTGGTGGACAAACATGTTTACCTGTCTCTCAACTCAGACAGGGCATTCGTGCAGTTCGTTTGCGTAACCGCAAGGGTGAACTTTACAAGTCCGTAAGGCTTCTCGTCCATTTTCATTTTGTTGATGCTGCGTAACCATTCTTGCTAATGTTGTTCCATTAATTAATGCCACAAAACCATTTTCGTATATCACAAAAACAAATGTTATTGTTCATGGACTGTGATCTGTTATTGTGTTCGAGGCTTCCTTCTTCTTTTACATGCACTGCTTTTGTTTTATGATTCACGTATCAATTGTTATACTATGATTGCCAATGGATATATGATTGATTCACATGTTAATTAATATGTGGTGAAATGTGAATGCACTGAAAAAAACTCACTCCAATACTAGATGTCATCATCATTATAGGCAAATTAATTATAAAAGTTGGAAGCTAAAAGGATCGTGGGACATATCTTAGAAAGGTGTTTGAATTAAGTTGAAAGAGCAACGTGTATTCATGTGTTTTCCTGTAAGGGATACATCATTATTGTGAAATGTTGAGTGGGCCAAACTTGTTAAATGTGATGGATGTTTATCATTCAAACATCTCATTAAATACTAAACTAAACCCATTTGATTTAGTTTTTTTTTTTTTCACAAAGTTATTCATTGAGAGAATATTAGACTAATGAATTAATTTTACATTAAAATGAAATATTTGATAAGTTTCATCTTAAATTTCAGTTGGTTCTTCAACCCTGAAACTTAGTTTAAAAAATATAATAAGGTTTAAAACAAATTAACTGAAGTCTATTATTTGTTTTTTTTTAAGAAAGAAAAAGAAAACTAGTGCGTGTTATTTTATTATAAATCTTATATATAGGTTGTTTATAAAAATTAATAATTTTATTTAAAATTTAAAAAAATGTTTATATAAATAAGCTTTTATAATTTTAAGTAATATATATATATATATATATATATATATATATAATTCATAAAAAAATTATTTTTATTTATAGACAATTCTTATCAATATTCTTGATAAATGTTCCTGATATTTACAGATTCTTTTAATAGATTAAATCAATTCTCTAATGATGTGAGATTAACACTTATCCATAAATTACTAAAATAATTGATTTCCTTTACCGATATCACATCAATTATTATCATACATTATAATCGTATCAAAGTAAGATTTTGTTTCAATAAAGTTATTCGAATATGATCTTAGAATAAATGATTTTACTAAATTAAACATAAAAAAAAAATAACAGTTTGTATATAAAAATAAAATAAATTTGTAAAAAGTAAGTATAGTCGGATAAAATTTACTTATAATTATATACTTTAAGTTAGCTATATTTTCAATTAAGAAGATGTCAAATGGTCTTTTCAATTTTTGCGAATTTAATTTTTTTATTCAATAAATTCATATATTGTAAAGGATAACTATCTTTGATATAAGGATGATAAATGAGTTATTTTGTATATTTTGGCTATTTTATCTTTAGTATCTAAAAAATAGAATAAGATGGTTATCCATAATAATAGTGGTAACAAGTTATATATTTGCATATTTTATAAAAGATAAGTATATTTGTATATTTTGTAAAGAATAAGTATATTTACATATTTTAACATGATAAAAAATATAATATTTTATTTTTAATTTTTTTATTTTAATTTTAATATGTAATTTTTTTTTTAAAGTGAGCCAATGATAATTTTATACATCCCACTCTTGATTAGTTGGATTGATGAAATAAACATATTAGTGTAATTAAATTATATCCCACCATTAAATCAACTAACATGTCCCTCAATCAAATCTAATATGTTTTGTTATCTATATTTAAAAAACCTTTTCTTTTCTAGATAAATATAGAGGATGTATTTTATGATAATAATAAAATTGATATGTTTTTATAAAATATAACATTTAAATAATAAGATCAAACTGGATGAGTTAAAATAATTTTATGTATTAAAATTATAAATTTATTTTATTATTAAATGGATTAACAGATCCACTCATCAAATCTAATTTATTTTGTTATTTATATTTAAGAAAAAAAATCTAGGTTTATTTTATGATAAAATACAACACCTAAGATCATGATGTATTTTTAGAAATCTTCACTATTTTTTCTTTAGTCATCATTGTTATTATGAAAAGATGAATAAAGCAACTTAATGAATAAGATGCAAAAGCTTATCACAAAATTATCCATTAGCAAAAATAGTAACAGATAATCACAAAAGGAATTTGCATGAACAAGCCAAACCAGTTGGTGCCAAGTGCATATCACAACAATAACAAGCAAAAAGAAAATGATAAGGAACTTCACAAAGGACATTTTTAACATTTTTAAAAGAAAAAAAAGGTATTACCATTGTTTCATAAATTAATAATTGAGTTTTAAACAATATTACAATTTATTATTATACATATATTTAAAAAAAAAAACTCTTTTGTAATCTTAAATAGGTTAATACATATGACCGTATAATAGAAATATTTAAAGCGAAAATAATGGTAAAAGAATTTGTGCTCGTTTTCTTTCCTTTTATGATATCTTTTCGCATCATTTAAAGGTCGTTTCACATTGTCTATGGGAGTCACATCACTCCCATTAAACCAAAATCCATTATTATGGTTCAAATATCAATACTGCATTTTTGCCCTACACAAATCAATAAATAAAAACTATTCAGATTATGTGAACGGGACAGTTAAATTGGTTGCAAATGTGATATCATGTTTCTCCCAGAAACGGTAAGTTAAAAGACTAAAATAAACTGAAATTTAAAAAAACCAACGCTTAATTTTGAGAAGAAAACTAATTTTAATTTATTATAAAAATACTAGTCTCTAAAAGAAAAAAAACAAGACCAATCAAATGAGTATGGCCCGTACTGTGTATTTTTGTTTTTTTTATTAGTCACATATTTATTACCCAACAATAATTTGAAGATTTAAAGTGTTTAATATGAGTATTTTTCTTGTAACATAGTTGACTCTTTGATTAAAAAATAATCAAATATACGAATAATAAAACTTTTAGAATAATTAGTTTATTAAAAATTTGGAGAGAATCGTTTCCAATAATTTCAGATGATAGTGGAATCAAGTCACAAAATGACGGCTTCAAAATAGACACTTGTCGGTTCAACGATGGGTACAAAAAGAAAATAAAAACCCTGTTATTTTAATATTTGATAACCAAATTAAAAAACAGAGAAATAAAAAATGAAGTTCATTATAGTTTATTTTGATTATTATAAAAGAAAATAAATTTAAGGTAAAAATAGGAGAGGGAAGTTGTGGTCTGGTAGAAACTACCTCCGGTCTGGGCTAAAAATAGTAGTAACATGGAGATTTATTGGGTGGTGTGGTGAAGTAGAAAATAAATGAAGTTGGATTTTTTCCAAAATAAGAAATTTCCACTTTGTACAGAAAGTGAATAAAGTAGATTAATTATGATTTGTGTAGGTGCCTGCACCACTCACACACTCGTTTTTCTTTCCATTTTTGTTGCGTATGCCAATGCTTGCACTCACTCACAAAGGAACGAACCCACCCTGTTTCCCCTCACGCGCTCTCCACCCCCACACCCTTGTGTTGTTGGCCACTCATTGGAGAGTGTCGCGCACGCGGATGCTTCTGTTCTCTCGCTTTGATTCTCTCACATACGACAGGGTGAATAATACAACGTTTATTGCTGTCTACGGTGCAGTGCAGTGTGCAATGGAATCATCAGAAATCAAGCGTCTCGGTAATTTCAACGCGTCGATTAACCAGAGATGTTTTTATTTAAACTTTATATACATTTAATACAAACAATGCAGTCTTCAACTGGGAGATGATGGATAAAAAACGCAACTTGAATAAAAACTGTAGATGGGTGGATATAATAATATAAGAACTTTATTTAAACAAGGTTTTTTTGGTCAAACAAATATTCCCCACTAAGTAATGTGATAATGATGATTCCCATCACACATAGCATTGACATGACATGGACAGCTATAAAAACGGATTTCTCCATTTTATCTTGCTTCGTTCCTCAACTCTTCAATTACTTATCTTCTTTTTCTTTTCCCTTCCTTCTTTTTAATTGTGGTTAGACTCCTTCCAACGCACCTCACCAACCAACCTTCAATCACTTCTTTTCCCGAGAAAATAAATTCTTGTGAGACTTGAGCTACTTGCTTTCCATTACAAATATAAATATGAAATATGAATCCAAGTAATAAAATCATAACTCATCATCTTGAAATTTGTAGTATAAATTGTAGTGAGGAGAGTTAGATTTTATTCTGATATTGTTTTTCATAGTTGAGCATTTGCAAGAAATGTTGTATTAAAATAGTTGAGAAATTTAGAGGTTCCTGTAGACTCAAAAGCTTGACACTGACATGATTTTGGCCTGATTTGGTTGGGTGGACACGGCATCTGTCTCGCTCTACTTCAACAATGGTGACCACTTCCCATTCATACCAACTCCTAACTACTTCTGTTCATTCCTTCCTTTTAACTTTTTTTTTTTTTTTCATTTTTTGTAAAATCATTTTTCAGGTCTCACCATAATTTCTTATTTATTCATAGTAGCAATAATGCAGTTTGAAGATGAAGAGTAAGTGAATGGATTTTTTGTAATTAAATGTATTTTTCAATGATTTTAACATTATAAATATTTTGTTATATTAAACTAAACTCAAATATATATATATATATATATATATATATATATATATTTTTTGATTTCCTTCCAGAAGGAAAAGTTTATTTTAGAAAACGAAAATCAAAATTTATTGTATTTATATAATGAATTGTTTAAAAACATGCATTTCTTTTTGAATTTTTTAAAATTAATTGATCAAAATAACTGGTTGGAATATAATATTTATATTCAATCCGGCAAGTGGGTCGGACTATTTGTTTATAGTTTTTTTTAAAATATGGAGATATTGTTGTTACTAAATATGATTATATGTGTATTGTAGAAGTATTTTAATGTTATATATATTTAGAATAGGAATGGTTTGAAATGGAAGGGTGAATTAGCATATGGAGGGTGGATAAGTTGGGGAAGAATTGAAATGGAAAAGATGGAAGAAAAAGGTAAAGTGGGGATGGTCGATGGAAATGGAAACAGGGAGTTATGCACATCTTTCACTTGTGGGGAAGGAAAGTGGAGAAAGAGAATCTATGCTCACCATCTGTCAATTGGATGATTCATGAATGGATGAATGGATGAATGGGCAGAGAGAAGGGTCCCACCCAACAAAACAATCAACTCCACCATAATATCCCTACACACCCCAACAACATAAACTAAACACAATCTTATTACCACCACCACCGCCGCCACCGCCACCACCCAACACCATCTCCCCCTCCTTCTCCTTCCAATAAATTAAAATTGCAGAATCCCAAGAACAAGTAAACCCCTTCAAACTTTCTATTTTCTCTATATTTTTTATTTTTATCATCATCGTCATCCTTTTTCTCATTCTCTACTAAAGTACAAACCCAAACACCTCCTTCCCAGCTAAACCTACATTTTATTTATATATTATATTATAATATTATTAATTAATACACACTCTATTTATTTTTCTTTATTATTCATATACATGCTTGCCGGCGATGCCCACGCCGGTCAGCATAGCAAGGCAATGCTTGACGGACGAGGCGGCGCGTGCGCTAGACGACGCCGTCACCGTGGCGCGCCGCCGATGCCACGCGCAGACGACGTCGCTCCACGCCGTCTCCGCCCTGCTCGCGCTGCCATCATCCGCCCTGCGCGAGGCCTGCGGCCGCGCGCGCACAAGCGCGAGTGCCGCCAGGTTCACCGCCACGTACTCGCCACGCCTCCAGTTTCGCGCGCTGGAGCTCTCCGTGGGCGTGTCGCTGGACAGGCTTCCGTCGTCGAAAGGAGGCGGCGGCGAGGAGGAGCCGCCGGTGTCGAACTCGCTCATGGCAGCCATTAAGCGGTCGCAGGCGAACCAGCGAAGGCAGCCGGAGAGCTTCCACACGTTCCAGCAGAGCCAGCTCGGGGGAACGGCGTCGTTTCTGAAAGTTGAGCTGAAGCACTTCATTTTGTCTATCCTCGACGATCCAATCGTGAGTCGCGTCTTCGCGGAAGCGGGGTTTCGAAGCTGTGACATCAAACTCGCGCTGCTTCGACCGCCTCTTCCTCCGGTTCAGCATCGTTTCGCTCGGGCCCCTTCAGTTTTTCTCTGCAACCTCGAACCTGACCGGCCCGACGAAAATATTCGCAGGATCGCGGAGGTGCTGTCAAAAAAGAGCAAGCGAAACCCTTTATTGATGGGTGTTTATGCTAAAAGTGCTCTGAGGGGTTTTGTTGAGTTGGTTCAGAAGGGTCGAGGGGGTTCGGTTTTGGGTTCGGAGTTCAGGGTCGTTTGTTTGGAGAGGGAGATTGGGAAATTTTTAAAAAGGGGTGGGAGCGAGGAAGAGAAAGTGGTGGCTGTGAAGTTGAAGGAGTTGGAGCAGCAATGCGAGGGTTGTTCTAGTTCTGGTTCTGGTTCTGGGATTGTTGTTAGTTTCGGGGAGGTTGAGGTTTTTGTAGGGGAGGATGTGCTTGTTGACGCTGTAAGGTTTATTGTTTCGGGGCTAACGAGGTTATTAATGATTGGCGGCGAGAAGGTTGCGTTGATAGGAGTGGCGGAAACCTCTCACGCTTATTCCAAGTTCCTGGGCTTGTTTCCAAATTTGGAAAACGATTGGGATCTTCATTTGCTTACTGTCACTTCCGCCACTCCTTCTATGGAAGGGCTCTACTCTAAGTCCAGGTTTGTTCTTTATTTAAAAAAATAAAAATATTATGGTGTTTGTTTTTTTGGTACAATAACAGAAACTAAGTTTGAACTTAGGACTTTGTGCACAGTATCCAAAATGGGTTAGTGGCGTGTCTTTTTAGTTCCTTTACTTGCACTTGTCGTGATTTAGGTTGAAGGGGGAATTGGGGTTCGTGTTCTTGCACGCTGATTCATGTAAAAATTACTAATATAAGTACTTCGGAGTATTGTGAGACACAATGCACGTTTGTTGACACGGGGCAAATAAATTGTGGGAATGTGAATAAAAGTGTGGCTCGCCAGCATCTTGTGTTTCGTGAACTGAAACTATTTATTTATTATTTTGCGGTTTTGGTTGTTCAGGGATTTCTGCTGTCTTCCTTAAAAGGGGTGTTGTTTCAGTGGAGTTTTTATGAATATGTTGTTGTGCATCCAACTCTGGTTTACCTCACTATACTCTAAACGTCTGTTGTATTTTTTTGGTTTTCTATATGTAGGAGATGCACGAATGGAGTTTCCTGGTTTGATTTTTTTAATAAGAAATTAATGAGTCACATGTAATTTACTGTAATGTACTACTTACTCTGTTGAAGTCATTCTGCAATGAGTCTAAATGAAAGGTGCTGAATTTGAGTTTTCGTTATGATGGTCTAACATATATGGCATGTAATACTATATCATAAATTGTCTTCATTACCATCATCTTTATCATGCCATGTATAATACTTGGATGAATGGTATGATTCCATTTCTGCCGTGGAGCCCCTTTTCCCCTTTGTTTATCAATTTAATTTTGTTCTGCACTTGTTTTTTATACCCTTTCGTGTTATGTATTTTCAGATCCAAAATGGGAAGTCAGAAACTTGAGTATGTATTTTTCTGACTGCCTATGTGAGATCTTCAATTTCAGTTGTCTATATTTGTGAATGTATTGGCCAAAGTGTCTCTTTCATTTATGCCAGATATGATGCCTTGAAATCTCTTTCATTGCACACACTTTAGTTTCTGACTGTTTTGTGCCTATTGGATCTCACAGTTCCCTGCTCATGATAAACTTACAGCTTGATGGGGTCCTTTGTTCCATTTGGTGGGTTCTTTTCTACACCTGAAATCGGAAGTCCCGTGAACTCCACGAATGGATCTGTTACCCGTTGTGACACATGCAATGAAAAATGTGAGCAAGAAGTTGCTGATATTCTGAAGGTAGGTCCTTCAACTGGTTACTCAACAAGCTCACCCTGGTTACAAAAGGTTGTTAACGCGGACACGCATAGAGGGTCAGATGTGGGAAAGGTTTGTTATGATTGGTAATTATTGCATTTCTCTTGTCCAATGCATTCTGAGGATCACATGCATACACACACATACATGCAACAGGTGGGGGCAATTGCTGTACACAGTAGAATAATTTAGAGATATCCAGTATAATATAGGAGTAATAAATACTATTTGAATACAAAAAATGGAAATAATATATGAATTTATGTGCAACAAATCAAATAAAAAACAATGTTTCTCTGTTTATTTTCTCCCTCTGAGCTTACTTTTGTTGAGCCCGTCGCATTTGATGATGAATGGAAAATTGTATTAAGCATGTGCCTCGAGATGATAAATTTACTGAACTCAATGGATTATATCTCTTTCAAAGTTTGTCAAGAAAACAAAGCACTTTCTTATCCATGTGTATAATTTTCGGTATATCATTTGTCTTACTGTATTCATCTATCTACTGGATGAAGGACTTGTTTGTTAGAAGTACCGGCACAAAAGAAAACATATTTGCTATAGAATTCAGGACATATGCAAAAGTTATTATAGAAAAATTCATGGAAGAAATTATACAGTCAATTATATTAGTTAGATCATGAGGAGTTGCAGGTTTTCTTTTGTTGTGTTTATATTCCCTACTTGATTGAAATTATTGGATCCACTTTCTGTAAATAATAATGGTTTGCATCACTTTTAATATTTCATTGCTTTAATTTATGGCTGCATATATTTAAGAATGAGCTCCATTATCCAGTGCAGACTAGTGAAGAAAATACAAGTTTGAATGATAAGATCTTGGGATTTCAAAACAAATGGAGTGATATTTGTCAGCGTCTTCATCACAAAAGCTCACTGCCTCACTTTGATATTTCTCAGACAAGGTCCCAAGCTCCAGCATATGAGACTTTACGGTTTGGTCCAGGTTTTAAGGAAAGCAGCAGTAAAGATCCATCGGGCAGTGAATTCCAACATTCTAGTCAAATTTCTTACATGCCCAAAGGGTTGCATACTACTTTTCCATTACCTTCCGATACAATCAGTGTTCATACTATAACTGATGATGTTTCAAAAGTTTCAGAGACACTGCAAATTGATGTGAAAACCCCTTGGGTCGTCCCTTCCAGTGTGCTTGACCACAGATCATCGTCATCCCACACACCTGTGACCACAGATTTAGGACTGGGAACGTTATATACATCAGCTTCTCAGGATCCAGATACCCCAAAACTACAAGATCAAAGAAAGCATCTTCAGCACTTGTCAGACTCTATTTCAACTGATTGTGATGCTATTGATGAAAATACTTCACACCAAATTCCTAGATCTTCTTGCTCTGGTTCAAATTTTGACAGAAAATTCGATTTAGCAGATTTCAAGTCTCTTAATCGACTTCTCACTGAAACGGTTGGCTGGCAGGATAAAGCCATATGTGCTATCAGTCAAACTTTGTCCCTTCGTAAATCTGGTGCAGGAAAGAGTAGAGGCTCACTAGGTAGAGCAGACATATGGTTGGCTTTCCTTGGACCAGATAGACTTGGAAAAAGAAA